AAAATGTTAAACCTGATCATTTCTGTGAGAACTCGGCGTTTTACACAAATCTGCCTCTGAACCGGACTCGGGTTTTTTCTGTGTGAGTCTGAACAACACCGTGACGTCATCAGAAACACACAGATTCATCCAACTCAACGCTAAAACCTGGTGCTGTAAAGTGAGACAACAGCGCCCTCGTGTGGTCGTGACCTGAAGGTACAACTGTGTTTGTTTCCGTTCAGTCAAAATCAGGTTTGAACTGTTTTAAACTCCACACGACACGTTTAGAAGTTTCCAGCGCCTCGGTCTGCGGAGCGATACTGTCCTACAAAAGCACAACGCCGTCACCACGTCGTCTCACAAATCACTTCACGTCATTTTGTTTGTATTCTGAGTTCTTCCTTTATCACGTGAATAAATATCGTGAGTAAATATTGAGCCCAAATGTCCCTTCGACCTGATTTGATTTGATTCTGTTCTCTGTCTTTGTATCATGAGTCTAAAATAAGTTTTCGTGCAAAGGCATAAGTGTGTGTTTTGTTTGTGATTTAGTTCATAAATATATTTTATTTTCAAATCGAACCTCTCACCTCCTTTTTTTTTTGTTTGTTGCGGCCTCGGCTCAGGGTCTGGACACATTAAATAAATAAACCTTTGTGTTCAGTTATGCTTTAATGATCTTTAAAGTTAAAAGTATTTGTGTGTATTTATTCACACTGTTCACACTAAACTGAAAAAGTGACTCCAGATCCACTTTTGTTCATCTCAACTTTAGTTTTTTGCATAACTTTGGCAATACTGCACCAAATATCACCAAAATTGACCAGTTTGTGTATTTTGTGATGTATTTTTAATGTCTGTGTTTCGGTGTTTTCTTTCCAGATCACATTAATTAAACTGTTTATAATCAAAATCCTCACACCTCTGCTCCTTCGGTACATTTTTGTCCCATTGACTTCTGTTCAAAATGGATTTTTTACTGGCATAACTTTGCCAGTGTATTTTTACTTTTTGATGTTGTTTTTTTTATCCTTTGGTGTTGAAAACCCTTTAGTGTCTTTTAGAATGTTTAGATATTTTTCTTTTTACTGTGTATCTTCATTACACGGTTATATCAGTAGAAAGACATTTGTACACGAGTCCAGACTGAAGATATTTGAGGTTAAAATGATCTGGATGTGTTCTCGAGGAGCCCACAGCCTCTGATAACCTCAACACTCATTAAAATTACTTGAAAGATATAGGGAAAAAGTGTTGTTTTTTTTCATGCAGATAATGTGATACTTTTGATACTGTCAAAAATGGCATGTAAAGAGGTAAACTGTCAAAATATGATATATTTTTTTGGTATGTATGATCAGGGCAGAAGTAAATCGAGACTTTGATATAAAAAAGTTAGATAAAAATGCATACTGCATAAAAATATTGTGGTATTCTTTTCCGGTGTACATTTTTAACACAGAAAAACACAGGTGTGATTATTGTAACGAGGTTTAACTGTGTCAGTGTCACTGCACGATCCTCATCTGCACTGAACAGGAAACACAAAACTCTTCGATTTCATTTCAAACAAACTCACGACGACTCGAGGTCGGTGACGTGTTTTTCTTATGATGGTTGAAGTTTGGACAAAATCAAACAAATAATGATCATGTCAGTTTCTGCCTTTGGCCTTTGCACGAAAAATTATTTTAGTCTCATGATACAAAGACAGATACAGGAAGTGACAAATCAGGTCACAGGGACATTTGAGCTCAATATTTTTCACATACAAATACTTTTTTCATCATAGCAGCTAGAGCCTCAACTATTTTATTTTAGTCTGGACAAAACAGAAACTTTTAAGTAATTTTTCATCTTGGAGAGTTAAAGTCTTTTGCCTGTGTAGAGCAGAACAAGTACAAACTGTATGAGTGTGAGTTGTACATTTACACACACGTACACAGACACACGTACACAGACACACGTACACAGACACACGTACACAGACACACGTACACAGACACACACGTACACAGACACACACACACGTACACACGTACACACACACGTACACAGACACACGTACACACACACACACAGACACACATGTACACAGACACACGTACACACGTACACAGACACACGTACACAGTACACACACACGTACACACGTACACACACACGTACACACGTACACAGACACACGTACACAGACACACGTACACAGACACACACACGTACACAGTACACACACACGTACACAGTACACACACACGTACACACACACACACATGTACACATGTACACACATGTACACAGACACACGTACACACACACACACAGTACACAGTACACACACACGTACACAGACACACACGTACACAGTACACACACACGTACACAGACACACGTACACAGACACACGTACACGTACACAGACACACGTACACAGTACACACACACGTACACAGACACACACGTACACACGTACACACACACGTACACAGACACACGTACACAGACACACATGACACACGTACACACACACAGTACACACACGTACACAGACACACGTACACAGTACACACACACGTACACAGACACACACGTACACAGACACACACACACACAGTACACAGACACACGTACACAGACACACACACGTACACAGACACACACGTACACACACACACGTACACACACAGTACACACACACGTACACAGTACACAGACACACGTACACAGACACACGTACACAGTACACACACACGTACACAGACACACGTACACAGACACACACAGTACACACACACACGTACACAGACACACGTACACGTGACACACACACACACACACATGTACACACACACATGTACACAGACACACACGTACACAGACACACGTACACAGACACACACACACACACAGACACACACGTACACAGACACACACGTACACAGACACACGTACACAGACACACGTACACAGACACACACACACACACACACACACACACATGTACACACACACAGTACACAGACACACGTACACAGACACACGTACACAGACACACATGTACACAGACACACGTACACAGACACACATGTACACAGACACACATGTACACAGACACACACACGTACACACACAGTACACACACACAGTGTACACAGACACACATGTACACACATGTACACAGACACACATGTACACACACAGACACACGTACACAGACACACATGTACACAGACACACGTACACACGTACACAGACACACACGTACACATACACACACACATGTACACAGACACACGTACACAGACACACGTACACAGACACACACGTACACAGACACACGTACACAGACACACGTACACACACACACGTACACAGACACACGTACACACACACACGTACACACACACACGTACACAGACACACACACGTACACACACACAGACACACACGTACACAGACACACACGTACACAGACACACACGTACACATACACACACGTACACAGACACACACGTACACAGACACACACACGTACACAGACACACGTACACAGACACACACGTACACAGACACACACGTACACACACGTACACAGACACACACACACACACGTACACACACGTACACACGACACACACACGTACGTACACACACGACACACACGTACACAGACACACGTACACAGACACACGTACACAGACACACACGTACACAGACACACGTACACAGACACACGTACACAGACACACAGTACACAGACACACACGTACACACGTACACAGACACACGTACACAGACACACGTACACAGACACATGTACACAGTACACACACATGTACACAGACACACATGTACACAGTACACACACATGTACACACACAGACACACATGTACACAGACACATGTACACAGACACATACACACGTACACAGACACACACGTACACAGACACACACACACATGTACACAGACACACATGTACACAGACACACATGTACACAGACACACATGTACACACACAGACACACATGTACACAGACACATGTACACAGACACATGTACACAGACACATGTACACAGACACACATGTACACAGACACACATGTACACAGAGACACATGTACACAGACACATGTACACAGACACACGTACACAGACACACACGTACACAGACACACACGTACACAGACACACACGTACACAGACACACATGTACACAGACACACATGTACACAGACACACGTACACAGACACACATGTACACAGACACACACGTACACAGACACACACGTACACAGACACACGTACACAGACACACATGTACACAGACACACGTACACACATGTACACAGACACACGTGTACACACACATGTACACAGACACATGTACACACACACATGTACACAGGAGTCTGCAGGTGCGTGTGAGTGTGAGCTGGTACCTTCTGAGTTGAGCGTGATGAGGGTGACGTTCTGGCTGCTCTGGACGCAGCCGTTGGACACAGAGTCACTGGCCTCTGAGCCGCTCTCCTGCTCCTCTTGGCTCTCGTCGGGACCTGGTACTTTTACCAGGATTGTGTTCTGACGCTTTTTAGCAACAGTACTAAAACACAGAGAAAGAACACACGGTGAAATAACAAAACAAAACAAAAAATCACTATTTATTTTGGCTTTGGGTCAGATCTTTTCTCCATGTTCTAGTCGTTTCTTCTCACTGACCCTCTGAAGTTGTACTTGAAGTGATTCACGTTTGAGGAATCTTTAAATAGTTTATTTACAAGACTCCATTTCGTCGTTCTCTGGTACAAACCCGCGCGCCCGCTGCGACCCGCGCGCCCGCTGCGACCCGCGCGCCTGCTGTTCTTCATGGGTGATACTCGTAGGTTTGTGCAGCGTTCTTCTCCTGTATTCAACTGGAGCTGTTCAGGTTCATCATGGTGTTTTATTGCAGTTTTCACATGTTTTCTGTGTATCTGTATCTGTTTCTTCTGTTTTTCTTGACTTTTACATGACGCACTTTGGTCAGCTGAAGTCGTTTTAAAGGTGCTATAGAAATAAACTTGAATTTCATTTTATTTCATTTGCTGTCATGATGTTTACGGCCACGTCAGCTCTGTTGGACACCACAGTTTTCAAAGGCCGAAGTCGCAAATGTTTTCTTTTTACATTTTAGTTCAGTAAATGTGCTTCTCTCATTAAATAAACTATGAAACAATTTAAATAGCAAATACCTTGATGAAAGTGACGTGAGTTTGTCTTGATGGTACCATTGGAAATCTCTTTGCGGTTTATGTTCTGGAGCCATAATTCCCATCTTTTTTTCGATAATTCCCTTGTTTGATCCTGATGAGTCATTTCCAGAGGAACAGTGAAGAAACAAATCGTTTTATCCCTTTCAGAGCGTCTAGAACAACCAAATACACAACAAAACCTGCCCATGTTTCTCCGATGCTGCTGAAGCCAATGACATAGAGTGTCCGGTGTCATGGCGGCGTAGGTACCGTTGTCATGGGCGACACATGACGGTGCAAAGCCTCTATAGTCGAGTTTGAGCCGACGTCATTGTTATTAAAAGCGCGTTGCTGCTGGGAAATATTTTGGTCGGAGGCAAGAAACACGGTAGCGTCAAACACAGTGCGTAACCTCACGTATTTCTCCTCGATAATGGTAACTTCCTGCTGCATTATCAGATGCACAAATAGAAACACGGAAGAAGGAAAATGTCTTTTTCGTATTCTGAGTGAAAAGAACCACTAACGGTGAATTAAACGACTTTCAAACATCCGCAGAGCAAACGTAGAAGATCCTAACAAACCGTGGACTCAACAAGTTCAACAACACATCCAGACTCTTGGAGGTTTTCATCTTTTCTGCTGTGAATGGCCCAGGAGTTTCCACCAAGTCATTGTGGATATCACCCAAGTGAATATTTGTCCAGGTAGTTGGAGATTCCGACCAGAAATGTGGTTTGGTCCAGGTTCTGTCGGGGTTGAAAAGGGTGATTTGTCGTCCGTTGATGTTTATGACCAATTTCTGGTCAAATGGTCTTGGGTCCTCTGCCGTTAGAGTGGAGAAATAACCAGGATCAATACCCTTTACGTGCTTTCTCGCTCCGTCCATCATGTTGAATTAGTGTTTCTTGCCGCCGACTAAAATAATTCCCAGCATGCAACGTGCGCTTTTGTCAACAATGAAACTCGCCTATAGTGCAGAAAATACGGTAAACGGGGCAAATGTCACAGTTATAAGAGAATGATCGACAGGGGTCAGAGGTCAGAGCTGCAGACACACACAGGACTCGTTTAAACAAATCTAAACGACTCACTTGCTCAGCAGATTTTCAAGCGGAGTGTCTTCTTGGCTTGAACCTTTCGTGGGTTCACTGCTCACTATGACGTTCGTTTGAGGAACAACACTGAAGAAAAAAAAAAATACAGTTCATTAAATGCTTCAAATTCCTAACTGGAGGCACTGCTCTGACTTTAATCTGAGCTTTATTTTAACAAAGTCTGACCAGAAAGAAGTGACTTATGGGAACTCCAACAAAATGTGCTCTTTAAATCACTTTTGAGCTCTTCAAACCTTTTTTTGGCCGTGTTTGCAAATACATTTTTATCACTTATTTACATTTATAAACACTGTTGGGCAAGTGACTTTAAACTGTAATGTTTTATTTATGACGTGTTTCTGTCATTTCAAAGTCATTTGTTACATTATAATATTACTGTATTTAAAATGTAAAATATTACACGACTATTGCAGCACTTTTAAATTACTCTCAACAAAATAACTGTGCGAAGATGCTGAATTTTTGCGCCGTATAGGCACTGAACCAGGACTAAACCAGGACTAAACCGAGGACTGAACCAGGTCTAAACCAAGGACTACACCAAGACTAAACCGAGGACTGAACCAGGTCTAAACCGAGGATTACACCAAGACTAAACTAGGTCTAAACCAGGACTAAACTAGGACTAAACCAGAACTGAACCAGGACTAAACCAGGTCTAAACCAGCATTAAACCAGATCTAAACCAGGACTAAAAAAAAACTGAACCAGAGCTGAACCCGGACTGAACCAGGTCTAAACCACGACTAAACCGGAGCTGAACCAGGACTGAACTAGGTCTAAACCAGGACTGAACCGAGGACTACACCAAGACTAAACCAGGTCTAAACCAGGACTAATCTTGGACTAGAACTTGTAAGATCACACCTTGCTGACACCCTGTCTCCGCGCTCCAGGGTTTAACTGCGGTTCTGCGTCGGTCCTTTCGCCCGTGGTCACCTGACGGTCTACGCGGGCGTTTCACCGCTGCTCATATCGCAGTGATTTTAACGAATTTGTATGAAGAAAAACCCACTATTCAATCCAGATTAACAAAGCTTTGTAACGCGCGATACTCACATTTGTACACAGCAACGCCACATTACTGCGTTACAGCAAAAAGCAACACATTACAGTAATTCGTTACTTTTATAACGCGTTACTCCCAACACTGTTTATATAATTCTGCCTTATTTCACTCCAGTTTCACTCTTTATTATTATATTGTATTGTGTTCTTTGAGCTCCTGCGTCCAAATAATTTCCCCTCACTGAAAATTTCTCTGATCTGGCCAAGATTTTAAAACTTCTCTCAGGTTTTTCATCTTGTTTTCAGATTTATTATCTATTTACTCGTTTTGAGATGCTTCATTTTAGTCTAGAGGTAGTTTATTTTAGGAAAACTTTTCAAAGTAAATTTGTCTTGCTGCATGGACAGATCAATTCTCTACTTTCAAGTCATTTTCTGATAGATTAAGTATTTCTATCTTACATTTCGGCCAAGCATTTTTGCCATGTTGTGGATTAATAAAGTTTGTCTAAGTCAAAAATACGTGTCTCTGTGGTAACTGAAGAACATTCTGCTAATACAAGCGTCACGAATTTCAGACTTCTGGTCATCGTGCAGGTCACACTGGGAAGTATTCTCTGAAAAAGTGAGCATCAAACCTCCATGTTTGTTTTCCCAGTGGGACGTGTCTATTGATAAAGTC